TTTTCTTTCTCTTTTCTTTCTCTTTTCTTTCTCTTTTCTTTCTCTTTTCTTTCTCTTTTCTTTCTCTTTTCTTTCTCTTTTCTTTCTCTTTTCTTCTTTCTTTCTTTCTTTTCTCTTTTCTTTCTTTCTTTCTTTCTTTCTTTCTTTCTTTCTTTCTTTCTTTCTTTTTTTAATTTTTTCTTTTTAATTTTTTTCTTTTTTTTCTTTTTTTTTTTGGCTTTTTTCCTTTTTTTGGGCTTTTTTCCTTTTTTTGGCTTTTTTCCTTTTTTAATTTTTTCCTTTTTTTTTGCTTTTTTTCTTTTTTACTTTTTTTCTTCTTCTTTTCCACAGGGGTTAGAATATTTATTCAAAAGGCCTTCAGATGCTCCTCTCATTTGTAAGAGTCCATGACTGCTGTGATCTAGTATTGGAAGCTACATTTGGAAAATTACAAGCAAAATAGTTTTTCCTTTCAGTGTAGGTCGTTATATAAATTAATTGAGTGCTTGCTTGTGTTACCTAATGGGGTTGAAAGATCAGGTCCAGTTTTCTTTGCTGGGTGCTGGCAGTGTGGGCAAATAATCTTTGTATGTTATTCCATGACATAAGCAAAGGCAAAAGATGGTAGTCTGCTTCTATGCTGTTCGGAACCAGTATTTTCCAGTTCTGAAGCAACAGGAGAATGAAACGTTCATCAGTTTCTTTTGTACCAAGAGGCTTAGAAATCAAGTTATAAATGTCAACACCTGCCAGGCTGGGACTGTCAGGACACATTGGTGCAGCTGCAGTGCTAGTTAGGCCATGACTTTAAGTTCTGCACAAGTGTCTTAATACTTGGTAAGACCATAGTGTTTTAGACTGTTCAGCAGAGGCATTAAAACCTTTTCACTTTTTATGTTTGGAATGACTCCTGTAATGGCAGAGCCTGTTCTTTAAAAAACAAGTCTTCTAGAGAGTGGAAACTTCTGTGGTTCCTACTTGTCTTATTTGTGGAATACTGGGCAAACTAAGTTTTGAGAATCTTGGAAAATAATGGAATATAACCTTTTATTCCCTATGTAGTAATTTCTCTGAACTAGTTTTATTTATAATTTTAAAATATATTCTGTATATATTTGTGTTCACTGCAACAGGTATTCTGTATTGCCTCTTCAGTAATAACGATAAAATTGCATTTTTATAAATGCCCTTGTTCTGGAAATGATATTTCTGTAGCAATAACTTGATTTGCCTAATGACCACTAGTTCTGTAATCTTGGTGCTTAGAGAGCCACAGTGGTAAATGAAGCAAGACTGTCAGGTAAAATGCTGTTCACTGACTAAAGCATAATTTTGGTTTCAAACAAATTGCCTTGTTTCAAAGGGAGTCATGCACATTCCATGCAGCAGTTTATGGCTCTTCTTTGACTCTGGAAAGACACTGGTCAAGAGAGAAGTGACCTTTGGCTGTGAAAGACACTATGAGGGTGAGCAGTTGGGTGGTTGTATTGAACACCTTGTATATTCTTCATGCCGCTTTATACATCTTTTGTTGTAAACAATGGTAGGTGCATGATTTTCTAATTCAGGGAAGCCTTGGTCATGAGAATAGAAAAAAAAGTAAAAATCTGAGGTTTTTTAAGAGTTCTCTTGGCACAGATTTCTTTTCCAAAATTAACTGTATGAATGTCTGACTTTTTACAAATCATAGGATTTGAACTGTCAGAGATTGCTGATTATCATAACGATTATAGATATTCTATGAAAGTAATCCTTTTCACAGGAAGCATTTACTTTAAGATGCTGCACAACAAGCTCATTTTTCTTTGGCCATCCTATATAATATTTCCTACTGTTTAGGAAACAATTTTGAATTGCATTAAAGTTTCAGGAGAACACGATCTTGCTTTTGCAAGCTGGAGCTTTAGCATGTAGATAAACATACAGAGAAAAATTTGCATACAAAGAAAAATTTATATGGGGAAAAGTCTCATTTACAGCAAAAGCAGTAACATGTCAGCTATTAAATGGCATTTAAAAGTGGTTGTACTAATTTATCTTCTAGACTTCACAGATACCATTGCACTTTTAAAATTGCTGGAGATAGGAGTATTTGTTACATTCTCTTACAAATCTTGGTGGTCACTACTGTTACAATACCTTTTCAATTTCTTACTTGAAAAATCACAGTTGTGTTAGTATGTTTATGTGCTGCCATTGAAAGATATTATGCCCTATATTAACATCTATCGAATACTCAAGTACAGTTGTGTTAAAATCCTGTTTTTACAAGACTTGCCACCTCAGAAAGTAAGCAGTGGGCATTAAATTTCTGAAGGTGAAATGGTGAATGAGATTCTGCCAGTTGTTTCTCAGTCATGCAGTTGTATCCCTACTGCAGTCCTGGTGCATACAGCAGTTCCCTTCAGCTCAAGGCCCTTATATTGTAATGGTTACTGTCAGAGAGCAAGTAGTTTCAAAGTCCTCTGTAAAGCTGGGTATTTGAATTACTTGTAATATGTATATAGGTGGTAAAGGGGAGAAAAGATGGAAACCCCTGCCATTTTACTACAGGTAAGGAAGAATAACCTTGGGCAAGGTCAGAATAAAGAGACTGGAGTGGTGTCTTTGCATAATACAATCAGCCTTGTCTATCTTTGTACTTCATGTTCTATCAATCATTGAATGATGAAAAGAAAAATGTTCTTTAGGTAGAAGTACTTTTAAAATTTTGTTGGAGTTATTTTTGTTACTCTGAGATAGCTGTTGGTGTTTTATAAGTACACTTACTGTGTAGATAAGAGTATTGTAACTTTATCTTAATTGCTTTTTCTTAGTTTTTGTCCTTCTACTAATCAGCAACACTGTCTCCAGGTATGTAGTATAATAGAGTGTGAAAACCAAAGTCCTTGTTATACTTTATTAAACCTTACGCTTTTGCCTTTTCAGCATGCCATTTTTTTTCCTACCAATTTTAAGAAATCTGTCAATCTTCACTTTAATCTAACTGCTAAAACTATTCTTACGGACCACTTAACGTGTTCTCTGCTTTGCTTTACTTTAAGCTTCTATGTAAAATTTGCTATGTTACTCAAACAAAGGTAAGAATGCCATGGTTGCTGGAGGATCTGGAAGTGAACACAGTGCTCAAGACTTCTGAGAAACCTCTCATCAGAGATCTTCCTCTGTGGCAGAAATACAGCCAGACTGCAGTTTATTAGACCGTGTTGTTGCTGCATGGCTGTACCATTTCAGTCTCATTTTTGACAAGGAGGTTGCTTTCCAGCCTGTGTTTTGCTGAAAAACTGACTTACATAGTCAGCTTTGGTCCTCATGCTTCCCAGCATTAGAGAGTTTGACAGAAATATCTTTGATCAGCAGAATACAGATCTCTCTCTAGTGTCTTTAGCTTGGATTTCAAGTTTCAAGCTGCAAAGCTGAAGCATGATAGGGACATGGATGTATGTGGAATCAGTGTTGAAGGCCTTATGAAATGGTTTCAATCCACAAACTATTGTATAACTGCAGACACTTTATTGAACCGGTGCAGCAGTTCCTCATCTCTTAACAGGTGAGTAGTGCTTCTCTTAATTTTGAATCAACCTGATCACTAATTGTGTGCTAATTACTTCAACACAGATTGAGTGGTGGATTGCAGAGTTTGTTTACGGGAGATCCTCAAAACCCCCTGTGGTGTCAGCTTTGCCATTGAGCATCTTCTCCCTCAAACGCACACCACTCTATTTCTCATACTCTTGATTTTGAAAGTTGTAGATTTCTGACTAAAATCTAAACACTGTGTCCTCTAATTTAAAATGTGCAAGTAGAGGATGTAGGATGTTGGAGGAAACCAACACCTAATCTTCATTTTTGTTTCTGAAATGAGTGGTTTTGAATTCAAACTGATATTAGTGTAAAGTGTAAATACTCAGAAGTATGGGGGAGACTGGATCTAGACAGAGCCTGAATTAAGCCCTGTATTTGGGGATGGAGGGAAAATGTGTTCTAGTGTTGTAATATGGGGTAGTTTGGGATGTTGTAGATTTTTCTGGAGTGTGTGAATAAATATATAAATAGAGTGTAAACACATCCAGGCAAAAATGTAGAGTTGACAAAAAGTTGTGCTGTGCACCTAGCATTTATTTTGACTCACTGTATCATCTGCTGTGTTCCTGTGACTAGTGTTCTTGGCTGGTTGCAGGAAGATGAATGCAGTGGATTTTAAAAAAAATTTCTTGTAGCAGCTTTTCTCTGTTAGCATATTGCTTGTGTTTGATTACTAACCTTCAGGAATCGAGAAAAATACCCATATATGGCACATATGTGTGTGTATACATACACTTTTGTAATTGCTTAAAGTGTAGAAAAATACCAGAAGGATATTAGGATACTTTCTCCACAGAGTCAAAATCAAGTTCAGAGAATCCATTGGGGTTTCAGGTTTGGTTGTTTTGGTTTTTTTCCAAGTGGCTTAAAACTTGCCAGATTATTTTAATTTGTACACTGAAAGGTTTGTAGGTATTTCTGTTTTATCAAATGCAGCAGTAACTTTATGGGAATGAGCACTATAAATTTCTGCTGGAAAGGTGTAGATAGGGTGCAGAAAGACATTCAGTAGCTAACAGAAATTGTTCCTAATGGGTTCTGTTACAATGTGTAGGCTTTGCTTGTTTAAGGAAATGAGTTTCTGTTGGTGAACTTTTAAGTAGTCTCTTGAATTGTAAGTATTTTAGCTCAGCTAGTGGACCTGGTGCCCTATATAAAAATAACTTCTTCAATTTGCATCTTTTTACCTTCTCTTGTCATTTTCCCTTTCTTATTTCCCTTTCTTATTTCCCTTTCTTATTTCCCTTTCTTATTTCCCTTTCTTATTTCCCTTTCTTATTTCCCTTTCTTATTTCNTCCCTTTCTTATTTCCCTTTCTTATTTCCCTTTCTTATTTCCCTTTCTTATTTCCCTTTCTTATTTCCCTTTCTTATTTCCCTTTCTTATTTCCCGTAAGGGAAATTTCTTTCCCTTGCAGATAGGAAGAGCAAATGAAGAGACATACTGGCACCTGATTAGGCTGTGCTTCTAATAGGGACATTATTCTAGAGAAATTTTAGTGTAAGTTCACCTGAGAGAGTGAATTCTGAGAATATTGGCTTAGTAGAGAGGCTAGATGAAGGTACAGTGATTTCTCTCTTACATTCGTTGGAAGTGGTTAGGGCTTAGTGCGAGATGGTCAGAACAAACATTTGATTTTAAAATGGTTTATTTTGTACCCAAAGAGTATATACTTCCTTAGCAATTTAGTAATGTAAGTATAGCATCTATATTATGCATGCAAATGGTAAGACTTTCTTTCATTAGAAGTACACTTCCTTTAGCTAGGGGGCTGATGGAATTGGTTTGAGTAATCTGCACAGAATTATGCATAATCCTTTATAAAGGTTGGGTGTTCAAATACATACAGCTCTTGATCCTGATATCAGTAAAATAGAACATACCTCAAAAAGTGAAACCTCACTTTTGTGTATCTCAGGGAGTTGATGGCGCCAAAGTGTAGATGCAGTAGAAATTCCAAGGTGTCCCTCCTTGGCAGAGAGACTTTTGAACAGGGAAGAAGCTTGATGGTATCAGACCCCCTCCAAAGGTGTTATTTCAAAGTATAAAAAAGTAGCACCTACTCCTAAGTGATAACTGGTACTTTTTAATGAGCCGTGGTAACATATTGAAAGTCTTTGTAAATACTTAAACAGTAATTTGTGCTGTCTCAGTCTCCCTCAATCATGTTGAATTATAGATAATAATGTGTGTCCAAAAACTTTTCATCTACCTGTGTTTATTAGTAAAAGCAGTATTGGCATAATCTGTGTTTTACTAAAGGATAAAGCATTGAAATGCATGCGCTTTTCCTTAGTTCATTATTTAGGATGAAAGATTATACTGTTGGTAGGGAAGGGGAAGGTTGATGAAGAGTTGTAGGTTAACAGCTCATTGCGTAGCAGGTGTTTATAGCAGGGACTTGGCTTGTATGACCATGGGACTCTCTCTTGAGCTGCAGGGACTGCTAAGACGGCACAGTATCCACCTGACCAAGTGGAACAAGAGGATCTTTGCCAGTAGTCTGACTAAACTGGTATTTAGACTAGGACTTAGGAAAGAGGTGATGACCCTCAAATCAAGAGGAAAAACTGGTGGACTGAGCTGGTAAACTGAGGATGAGGATGATGTGGAGAGGAGTCCTTGAAAACGACTAATCAGAGAAGATAGAAGGCCACACATGTAGGTAAACAAAGAGGAAATGTGGTACATAGATAATGAGGCCAGCAATATGAGGGGGAGAATCTTAGACCTCTGCAGGGAAATTAGCTGTGGTGACCTGGGAATGCCTTTTCCCTTTGATGACGTTTGTAAGTGATTGTAGCAGGTTTCAGAGAACTTTTCTTTTAAACTATTACAGTATTCTGCCCTCTCCCTCCCCCGATTCCTCCCCAGTGTATTGTGCCTATTGTACAGAGTGGTATTAGATTATTTTTTTTTAAAGATATTTCACCACTTTTCTAAAACACATACTGACTGACTTATTATTAACTTACTTCTCTACAGGGTGTGATAGGTGTACAGTTGGTGGTTACCATGGTAATGGCTAGTGTCATACAGAAGATCATACCTCACTATTCTCTTGCTCGTTGGCTTCTCTGTAGTGGCAGGTAAGACAAGTATGAATATGGTACTGCAATTATGCATCAGAGTAGTAACAGTAAAACATACTGATTTTGTTTGAGTTTGTTTTTTTTTTTTAAAGTAATTGACTTTTATTAAATTTATTAACATAGCAGAGTTACACCTAATTTGTGGGCTCAAGGCAAAAAGACAGTGTTGCTGTAAAAGAACATACTTATTTGTTGCTATTAATGGTATCATAAATTGTTGTTCAGCTCTTATATTAAAGGTACAAAGTGCATCCTTTAATATTAAAAAGCTAAATTGAATGCAAGATCCTGAAGAATAAGAGGATTTTGTTTTCCTCTGCGCTGTCTCTGTGTTGTTGATAATCTTCCTCATGATTAGCCTTGCATATGAAGAGTACTTAGATATAAAAAATTCTATTCCTTTTCAATAGGTCAAACGACAGGATTGGTATAAATTTCAGTACACTACTTCCTTGTAACAATTGATCAAACAGACATAATGAGTTGCAAGGGGTGCATTCCCTGTATGTCCGTATCCATAATAACAATGAAAAGCAGCAGCTGTTTTGAATATAAATCAGTATGTTAAATATTAAAAGGAATCATAGATAACTGTGTTTTTTCATTTGGTAAGAAGAACACTTTGTATGATTAGCAGGTAATGTGTTGTCTTTTGTAACTGTAAAAATTTTGAGACTATCAAATCCTGACTGCTTGCTTTCTGAAGGAGTATCCTGAACAATAAATTGCTCCATAGGAATATTAACAAGTCTTTCCATTGACTTTTTTTTCACTGCATCTCATAATTATCAACTTATTCCTTTTTAATATTCCAGATTTCATCACCCGTCCGGTTGCTAATGTGAAGTGAGTGTAAATGTTGTTTAGATGTGTGCTAGGTATAACAGAAAACAGTAATCGTCATGTGGATAACACAAATAGGAATCATACTCTTAATTGTTGTGTGACGTTTCACTCTATATGTTAACCATATTGGCAGGGTGCTGATCACCTTTCTTGTGCTCTAAAAAGAAGATGGCACTAATGAATGTGAAACCTACCTGCCTACCATGCCTACCATTTATTTTTAAGGTTGTCACCACAGAAGTATTTAATCAGCAATCATCCAAATGACATATTGTACCTTTTAAGTCTAAGATTGCTTTAAACTTCTGTTTCAAAATTGAAATATCTAATTGCTCTTGTAAAATAATTTGTCAGTATTATGCCCACGTTCTTCATTCTTGTGAAGTTTTCAGTCACTGTATCCTTGTTTTAAGGCATGCCTTGTACCAGTGATAGGGAGAAGTTTGCTGTTCAAATCTTTTTCAAATCAACTTCTCTGTTTATCTTTGCACATCTGCAGATTGATAAATACCTCAAGCAGGATTTCAGCACTTGTGTTTAGGTAATTCTGCTCTTACTGAAGTCAGTGGGAGTCTTACTGCCTTCTATGTTAGTAGCCTTGAAAAACTCGTTATTTTTCAGTTTTCTTTTATTTATCTCATAACTATTTTAGTGTATTGTAATTTCAGGCTCTGAAACGCAGAACTCTGTAACTCTGAATAATTCCCTGAATACAGGAATTGCATAAGGAGTAAGAAATAATCATGTGTTCTAGAAATAAAAATAAGTTAGAAGATTCACTGCAACAAGAACCTGAATTTTAATGGCAGAAAGAAAAGCAGTTATTTTCTTAGTTAACCTGATAGGCTGTCTTTTCTCTTTCGATCATTTCTCCTTAGTGCTGTCTTTTTGCCAGTGGTATTTGACAGATCTGTGTGGGTGGGGTGGTTGAGGGTTTTATACACATAAGTGTGCAGGTACAGGCACACTCCTAAAGCAGTTCAACTGTCCAAGAAAAAATTGCCACTTGCTCCTCCTTACCTTTTACTAGACTTCAACTACTAACTACTACTAACAACTGACTACTACTAACTTTGGTATCCAGTAGTGGTTTTTAAGTGACTTTGTTTGAATGTCTTGCTTCTGAAGGATTGGCAGGCAAGACAGATCTGAAATGTCTGTAGATGCCCTTGCTAAATGGGAGGGAGGATAAACATGTTATCAGACAAGAGAGAAACATTAAGTTACCAGTTTGTTTAAAGATGTCTATGTTTTTATGAGAAGTCCGTTAAAAGGAAACAAAGACTTTTCAAAATCGAAAAGAATTCTTAGGATAGACAGACTTAAGGTCTTGTTAATGGAATAAATAGCTATCATTGACTCTTGAGAAGCAAATTACATAAATTTGTTAAGAAATACAAACTTTTTCAGTCAGTGCTGTTTTCAGAACTTGAATGCAACTAAGTTGATCTATTGAAATATTTGGCAGCCTGAATATCTGCATAGGCCCTGCATTATTTTTAGGTAATAAAACATTCTCTACCAAAACATTGCTTTTAAGTCGCTTAGCTATTTCAGTTACTATGTTTTCAGGCCACGTCAAGAAGACAGAAGAAAATGGATGTTTTGTTGTGGATTCGTTAATGACATTTATTCAAATTAACTAGGGCATGTCTGCATGTCTGTTGCTATTCAGACTGACTTGGATATGTCAAAGCCATTAGGTAATCAATTGTGGGATTTCAGTTTTAAGCATATGTAAACTAAAATAGATATAAACTACTTTTTATTAGCTCTATCTTTATGAAAATGTTTGCTCAAATCTCTTGGTTTTGAGATATTAAATGCAAGGTGTGTAGGGTTTATCAACTGAAAAATAGCAAAACTCTTTATCCTATTAGTTGTAATTTAGGTATCACTTGCAACGTCGTTTTGTAGTACAATTGGGAACAATTGTGGTCTAATTTGTGGTTTGATTTGTGTTAGCATGCTAGACAGAACAAGAATTTTTTTCTGTTCTGCTGCATTAGGTACAATTTCTCTGTCTGTGCAGGAAAGATTTTGAAAAATTTCTTTACTGCATAGGTGGTTTTCATCATTAGCATCCCAAGTTCAGATCAGGGTGATGTGATAAATGAAAAAACAGAATAATAATATCTCTGTTTTTTCACTGCTGCTTTGGATTGTGTGAAGGATAGAAGTTAACATCTCCAGAGTAGTTTGACTTCTTGGATGAAAAGCTTGTTTCTCCAGTTTATTTATGACTGCATCTTAAAGTCTCTTTTGCAGAAAAGTTTGCAAATCACAGATTCCTCAACTGGACCACGCATAATAAAAAAAAAATGAAGTAACTTTCACTCTTACTTAAACAAAATTCAGTTCCTTCTTTCCCATCCAAAACTGTGTTCATGGTAAATTTGTAGTATTTGTTGTTTTCAGTTTTAGAACTGGCGGTGAATTCCTTCAATGAAAATTTGCAGTGTGCAATGGTTTCTTGTTCTCTTGGCTGGTACTAGCATTCTTTTCTCTTGAAGACTTCCCAAGGTGAAGAAGCCTTTCTAAAGTAGAGCTGGGAATCAAGTGTAATCAAATGGCTTGAGATTGTTTGAGTTTTGATGCCTTCCAAAATTGCCTTTGTTAACTTTTTGGAATTGAATCTGACATAATTTCTGATTGACCAACATGGATTTGAATGGTCCTACTTGGTGAAGTTTTCTTATTGTGAGGTGGTGGTTGTTGATTCCTGTATCGTCTCTGTTGGCCTCTCAGCATGGGTGACTGTTAGTGGCCTTCTACTTCAACACACATTTCTCAAGTCTGTTCTTGTTAATATGTGGTCTTTGCCTCAGCATTTCAGAGTACAGATCACAGTGATATCTTTCCTGCAGCTGGACAATAACCTTGCCTTGTTGGGTGTGGAAAAGGCTTTGTTTCAGCTACTAAGGTTTTTTTTCATAGAGATTTAAGTAAAATATACCATCTTAGGCACTTAACCATCTCTGTTTGTCCTCTTCAGAATTTCCATGCAATTTCTTGCCTTTTAAATGAATGACCAATGAATGGTGCCTTGATCTGTGAAAGAAGAAGAACTTGTGGGTCAACTATGAGTAAATTAGTGGGTTTTTTTAATAGCACTTTTTCTAGTAGAATTTGAAGGTATCACTGAGGAGGTATTTAAGGAAAGACATATTGATGTTATGATTTGCTCTGCTTAAGAAAAAATACTGGCAATGATTATTAGATAATAGCTAGTTCAGATTTTGGAAAATTGCTGTATTTGGAGGGGATATAATATTCTTTATTAAGTTATTTAGAATATGGTTCTGATGAGTAATTGTAGTGGTATAATTATTTCTAGTGAACATTCCCACCTTGTATGACTGTGTTTGCTGTATTTGATGATATCTTTAAAAGTTCGTGTTTGAGAACTGAAGGGGTTTCATGTGAATGACAAAGTGGCAGAGCTTTCTAATTATGTATAAATGCCTCATTTGCTGACAAGAACTGAGCTCTAGTTGTTGTTCAGTTCAGGCAGGGTAGGTACTGCCAGACAGAGGTACCTTGCTTAGGAGTGACAAATGACAGGTGTCTTAGTAAGTATATAAATCTATTGTGATACGTTTTTTTGAAAGCCATGCTCTAAATTACAAATAATGGTATTGTTTTACTTGAGATTTTTTTTCTTTAGCTTACAGTGGTATCAACATCCCACTGAAGAAGAACTGCGGATTCTTGCAGGGAAGCAAAGAGGGAAGAGTAAAAAAGATAGGTAAATACTTGTTTTAAGCTTGTCTTCCCCCACCTTTTGTTTTTTTTTCAGCACAATATGATTCATCTAATAACTTTGCCAGCCTACTTTTGTCTTGGCATGAGATAAAAACTTCTGGTTGCATATAATGCCCTGCTTGTGTTAACTGTCACAGTTCTTTACCAAAATGTGTTCTGTCAGTTTAACAGAGTTGGACATTCCCAAATTGTGCAGAACTGGTTAATTTCCATCCACAAAATAGTCTGTGAATTGCTAATTTGATGGCAAGTTTTTTTAGTGAATGTGTGCATTTAGATAAAAACTGAGGAAACAAATCTTACGATTGTAGCTCTTCATCTTGAAGCAAGAGAAGAAAGATTTGAGTATATTAGTTCTACATAGACTCTTAATACCACTCTTAATACAGCTGTGGAAAAGGTAAATGGCCTCCTAGGATGTATCATGTGAAATGTTTCTAGTGAAGAGAGAGGGAAATATTAATCCTGTTGGACAAGACACCAGCGTAGAACTTTATCTGGATTACTGTATGTAGGTCTGATCACTTGTGTTCAAGAAAAAATAATTTTATGTGTGAACAGGTAAACAGAGCTGCTAGGATCATTCAGGAAGCAAAGTCTATCTTACTCAGGGGCCTAAAGGAGCTGGGCTTGTTCTATCTACTTAAAGACAACTGAGAGGTTGGCATAGCTGTCTTATCAGCTTAAGCTGGAAGTAGATTTTTGGTAGTCAGATATGAAGTTCTGAACAGCCATACCAGAAGTACAGCTGTGTTAGAACTGAGATATCTTGAGGTAGAGCTGGCCATATTGATGAAATATTTCTAAATTGGTTTTGTTTAGAACCAGACACCCACTCTGCTTTTCTTTTTGGCAACACAGGAGGTTTGCTCTAGCTCTGTTTCTTCTATCCCAGTATGAAATCTTAAGATTTGAATTCATTTCTGCACTGCTAATATAATCTGTTAATTGTAATGTAATTTTTCCTCCTATTTCCTAGCTCTTAAGCAGCATTGTTAGCAATCTTATTTGCCTGATTTAGGTTGCAAAAGACCTCTGAGATCATCTAGTCCAACCTTTGATCCCATGTCCATTGGAACATGGCCCTAAGGGCCACATCCAGTAATTTCTTGAAGACCTCTAGGGATAATGGCTCCACCACACACTACCCAGGAAGGCCTTTCCAATTCCATGACAAAATTCCTTTTGAGGTCTGTCCTGAACCTCCCCTAGCACAGCTTGAAACTAGGTCCTCTTATCCCATCACTAGTTAACCTTGAGAAGAGACTGTCCCCCCCACTTGGCTGCAGCCTTGCCTCAGGCAGTTGTAGAGAACAAGAAGCTTCTCCAGGCTGAGCTCCCTCAGCTCCTTCAGCTTTTCCTCATCAAACTTGTACCCCAGACCCTTCCGCAGTTCCCTGGCCCTTCTCTGGACTTGCTCAAGGACCTCAATGTCTTCCTGGTTGTGAGGGGCCCAAAACTGAACACAGGATTTGAGGTGTCACCTCAGCAGTGCAGAGTACAGGGTACAGTCACTGCCCTGGTCCTACTTCCCATACTATATCTGACACAAGCCAGGATGTCCTTGGTCTTCTTGGCCCCCTAGGCCCATGCTGGCTTATGTTTAGCCACTGTTATCCAGCAGCCCCAGATCCTCTTCCACTGGGCAGTTTTCAAGTGGCTCAGCCCCATCCTGTAGCACTGCATGGGATTGTTGTGACTCAAGTATAGGACCCAGCACTTGGTCTTGTGGAACCCTCATGCCATTGGTGTCAGCCCATCAATGGTGCCTGTCCTGATCCGTCTGCAGAGCCTTCCTACCCTTCAGGAGATCAACACTCCCATCCAACTTAGTGTTTGGAAATTTACTGAGATTGCCCTCCATCCCCTTGTCCAGATGATCTATAAAGATCTTGAACAGGATGGGGCCCAATACTGAGCCTTGTGGAACAGTGTTAGTGACCAGCTACTAACTAGATGCAGCATCATTCACTGCCATTCTCTGGATTAAGCTGTTCCTTGTAAAGTAGTAGTTTGTTTTGGTTTTGGTTTTTTGGGGTTTTTTTTGTTCTGGTGTTTTGGTTTTTTTTGCAACATTCCTTAAAATCAGGAATCTCTTTTTATCTATGCAGTTCTCGGTGACAAAAATGAGGCAAAATAATTGTGAATAAGATCATAATTTATAATTATCCAAATTTTCCAATTAACCAATGATACTTATTCATATGTGAAATACACTTATAATTACTTAAAGTCCACCTGTACAAGCCTTAAACTGAAAAACACAATTGCACTGCCAAGTAATTGTACTTTGCTCTTATTGCCTTTCCTCAGCCTTGCTAATCTTTTGCAATAATAGTAGTAGATGGTTGTACCAGGGTGAATGTTAATCATAGGACAATATAAAACTTTAGAGAAACTAAAGCAGTAATGTAGACACTTAAATGATGTATGCTTTGCTTGTTTATCAGCTGAATGAATAATAAATCATTTTTTAATGAATAAACATACCTCCGTGTTCTGAAAGAAGTGACTCTTGTTCAGGAAGAACCATAGTTAAGTGGGAATTGTTCCTCTTAAGTTGGTTTGGATTTACTGATTAAGGTTGCACAAAATGAAATATACATCTTTTAAGTCATTTCAAAAGGAGATGTGATATAGATAGTGTTCAGAAATAAGGATGCATCTGTTTGATACTCCCCATGATAAAGAATACTTTCCAAGGTAAAGAATTTACTTTGTCCAGCCCATAGTCTTGCAAAGTGTAATACCTGTTTCTTAAATACACTCTTAGTCTGAACTAATTTAAAGGGAAATTATTAAAGGAGATGCAAGGAGCTTACTTGAAAATTTGCCTTAGAAACAGCTGTAGTGTGAAATTTTAGCTAATTTTATTCAGTGCATATTACACTTCGGTAGGTTATGCTGTAGGCTTTAGGAGCACAGGAATATTAGGCAGGTTTTCTGCTTCAGAATAGTTTGTATTATATGAAATTGTTAGGCTAATGAAAAGATCCGTAGCTACTGTGACTTTGAACTAAATCATTCAGTGGTCCTGAGTTTTGTCTATGCTTCTTGTACTGTGGGTCCCCCGCAATAGGAACACCAAATTTTGTTTTGTTGATCTGAAATGGCTTCAGTGGTAAAGATGTTCATCTCACTCAAGGTGATAGTACTGCTGTATGCAGGCAGTAGGAAAATAATCAGTACAGGTGGGAGCAGGGAAGTGCACAGGAGCTTGCTGGTAGTCTAGTCCTTGGGCAGTGTTTGGGACTTCTTGTGTAGATTTGCACAACTTAATATTTTGAGTAATGCTTTAGATTCCTATCTACAATTTGTCCATTAGAATTTTTGTGTCTCAGGTTATACTAAGCATTAATAGAACCTGAAAAATTTTATTAATGCTTTCTGCTTGTGTTTTCCTCTCATATATGAGCTGAGATGAAAGCATTCCTGAAAACTAAGTTCACAATTGATTTGATTTCTTTTTAATGCTTATATCCCAATAATTTGTTTTTATATGGAAAATCCATGCCTCCTTTTCTAATTTCAGAGGTGATGTTCTAAAATGTGGCAGTTTATTGTTTCCTTCTAGCCTTTTAGAGGTTTTAAGTTTTAGATTTCATTTTTTTAATCTAACAAAACATCTTCTGATCTCCTTTAACGATTTTTATTTTTTTTTAATAGTGGGAGAGGGAAGTTTTACATTAGTTAGTAATGCTGATCTACCAGACAAAATTCTTTAACTTTGTTTTTGGAGTGTGCTAGGTTTTTTAATTTGATGTCTACTAGTGTGACTTAATTTCAGGGAATCAAAGGTCATGATATTGGTATAGTTTGAGAGCTCCAGATGTAAAGCATCTTTTGTTCTAAATACCTTCACTTGATGGCTAGTAGGTTGGACCTTTCAGAGATCTAGGTCAGTTCAGCTCACGTGATGTACCTGCTTGTTGTGACAATAAGGACTAATGCAAGGGTTTTTTTTCTTTCTTTTATCTTGGGAACACCCTGTAGCTCTGAATGGAGAAAATCAATGGGCTAAAATACTGTCCCCTGTATCTTGACCCAATACATGCTCAGATTGAAGCATCTGGAAGCAATTTAAATCCATACCACAGCAGTATGTCAGAGTCTGTCAAGTGATAGCTGGGAGCCATTGACATACCTGGTTGTTTTCCAAGATTTGAACTTAAAGTACTACTTTTAGTTAGAGACATAAAAACATTTGTATTTGGGAAAAAAATCTACAATTTGAAATGTCATTGAGAAAATCTATTTTGTCATACTCATGCTTATACTATCTATTTATTTATTTTACAGAAAATATAATGGTCATATTGAAAACAAGCCCTTAACCATTCCAAAAGATATTGATCTTCATCTGGAAACAAAATTTGTAACAGAAAGGGACACTATTGGTAAGAGTACACAAACAGTAATATATAATTTCTAATATATCCTAATTCTTTCTATCAAGTGTTTATTCATAATTAATGCTGAAATATCTCTTTTGTAGACTGTGAATGAATAGAAGCAAAACTGGTCATAAATGAGAAAGCAGGTAGTAGGACTAGGTCTCCTTTCACGTTCCATGAGTTACGTTTAAAAGCAGTGTTGTGGAAAGGGATGAGTTGATGAAATCCAGCATAAAGCACGACTGTTGCATCAGATGTCAATAGCAATATGAGACAACATTGAAAGAATCACATCATAGTCTATTCAAAATAGAGTTTTTAGCTTCGTACAAGAAAATAACGATTGGCAGATCTCAAGTCATATACTTTCTGCTCATCTAAAATAGGAAATGTGCTGTAGCATTGGAACCTAAGCCCTTTCAAACATTTCAAACCTTCAGATAAAATGCTTAAAAACAGCAAGTGACAATACAGAAGTATGCAGCATTAAATGTTCTAGAAGGTACTATATTTTTAGATGCTAATTTTTGATTATTAAATCATAATCAGTCATTTTGTTACAGAAAGTTCATATATGAGTATGTGATATATATTTGCCTTCTACCTACGTTTTTATATTTATATATTCTCTGGATAAATATAGAAAGAAAGAAAGAATGCATATCCTATGAAGGAGACTTCTCAGCTTAAATTGTAGGAGACAGCATTTGTGTAACAGAAATGTAGTTTTTGAAATAAATAAACAAAGCATTCACAAGTTTCAATTACTGTTACTTTCCTGAAATGGTAGTATTAAATTGTCAGCCTGAGTTATACAAGATAGGGTTCGACTGTGTTTGAAAAGTAATATATACAATTTGTTTGTAAATCTAACCAGGTTGTTATTTCAAAATATGTGCAGGTCTTGGAAATACCCAAGTTTGCCCAATTTCCTATCTTTGCCAACAGGCAGCTTTTAGTCAAGTAATGTTTTCTCATTTTCAAATTGTGTAAATGTAGGGAAGGTGTTGGGGAGGGACAATTTGTGTTGTCACAAATGGTTCTTTGCAGTTTCCAACACCTATGGGAACTCTCCATAACATCCACCCTGTATGCAACACAGCACGATCCCTGGAATTTTTACAGTGAAATTTACACAACTATTGCTTTATAGGATGTATTAACAAAATCTCGATGAGCAAATCATCAGTATCTTAGATGGTGGGAGTTTGTAAAATAAAAATAACTGTTTATTTGTAATATAATAAATGATAGCCAGTGAGATTTTAATCTTTTTTAAAGAGTCTAAAAAACCCCTCTTACCTGGAATTGCAGCCAGATTCAACGGGAAAACTGTTTACTGTCTGTGTTGTGAAATCCAAATTAAGTATGCTTTTTGAATTTAGGATGTTAATATATAAAGGCTGAGGTGATAAAATAGTAAAATAGTAAAGAATGAAGTTCACATCGTTGAGTACCTTTTTCATTGTTGTTGCATTTCACTTGGTTGATCTGAATCTACCTAAACTTCTCTTTAATACACTTAACACACAATTGAAAACCTCTTTTAATTGCTACTCCATTCTATGTAAACATACCTTTAACATTCACAAACTTATATTTTTCAGCGTTGCATTACTTTCCAGAATATCAGTGGTTGGTGGATTTCACTGTTGCAGCTACAGTTGTGTATGTGGTGACAGAAGCCTATTACAGCATTATGAAGCCCTCACAAGAAATGAATATCAGCATAGTGTGGTGTCTGCTTGTCCTGGCTTTTGCCGTGTATCCTTTTCTGTTTTGTTGAATCCCCCTCTACCTGTTACAAATAGTCTACATCATTCTGCAATTTGTATAAATCTCTGTGCCACTGATGGGCAGGATACAAAAATATTTAGTATTTGAAAAAAGGATCCTGTAAGCTGATGCCATTGTTGAATAATGTACATGCTGTACAGCTCTTTGTAAGTGTTGGTATCATTAGCCTGTTAACATTAATACTAGACCATTTAGGAAAAAAATACTTGTATGCAAATATAGTTAGTGTTCATATGTAGTATGTAGTGGTTCTAAGCTAACTTGATTTTCCTCAATTTGGCAATCAGAAATAGTTATGTGTACATAAAGTACAATTTTGAAGAAGTTTGGAAATTTAATGCCCATTTTTTGTTTCAGAATGTTTAATCTGATACTTCTTGATCAGAACAATACATTGATGTGTATACTAGTATATTGCAAAAATACATGTGTGAATTTATAATTTAAAATATGAACATAAGGTATGTAGACAGTTGTAGGAACTGAACTGTTTGAAAAGCTAAACTCGCCTCTGAAACGAAACAGAAGGGGAAACAGGCGTTATGAAACCATAAAACGTTTGTTTTGTTATGGAGAAAGCAGTTAAATTTTCTTTTTACTGGAGAAGGCAGTATCAGACATAGATGCTTGCATGCTAATTAGCTGCATTCCACATACAAATCCAGACACACACTTCAGGGAGGAAAGTTGCAGTTCAGAGGTATGATAGAGGATAAAGCAGTGGAATTAAATAAGGTCTTGTAAGAGTGCAGATTACAGAAAGGTGAACTGGAAAGTGAATTCCTACAACTCCTCTGCTCCTTCAGCAGCTGAGAACAGATAAAGTGCTAAGTTACAGCTGATAAACCTCTTGTATTTTCAAAATTGTTTTCTCTGTATAAATGCTACTTCTTTAGAGATTCTTAATGTGTTGCAGTTTTTTAAGTTGGTTTGTAATATTAGTAGTAGCTGGTGGTGTTACGTAAAACCTTGAACTCTAATGTTTGATTATGTTTTGCTAAGAGTTCTGAATGTGCTTCATGCTTGCCTCGCCTTGATAATTCTTAAAATATGTGCTGCCTTTGTAGTATGGATAGGAGTTGTTTTCTAAGGAGACTGAAGTATAAATGATAGAATTTTTCCAGAGTTTTTGCTTGTAATGTATAAAAACTTGCTAGAAGAGAAAGCCAACTCATAGCTGGAAAACCTGAATGAAAGGGGAGGCTGATGCAGGCAATCTATTAACTTAGCACTGAATACTCCCAAATTATTCTTTCAGTAGATCCTAAATATTAGGTCTTGCAGTGGAAGGAAGTGATGAAGCTAGCCTAATGCTTCAATTTTTTCCAGCCCAGAAATAGAAGCACTGGTGATTTTTTAACTAACAGAGGGTTTCAGTCATGTAGTTTATGTAATCATGAATCTGTTTATCGAGTTCTGAATCTGTTTACAGTTACTATAATTGTAATTTGTTGTTAGTGTGCTTACTTTTTCCTCCTTGAATTTTCCAAATCCTTCAGACACAATCCGTCCTTGAAGTCATGAAGTACCTAGGAGGTCATAAATCTGATGATAGATTAGGACTTGATCACAAATGGTTATTAAGTCCTTTGTTTAAATTCAGGGTGTTTTCAATTTGTGATTAATGTCCCTAGCTGTAAAAAGAGCCTTGGTTTAAGCATGTGTTTTTAGAGAAACTTCTTTTTGGGATGCGTTGTGTCTTCTTTTTGTTTTATCAGTTCTTTCTGTAAAGTATAGAGGTCTGGAGGTGATTACTATATGAGATTAGAATTACTAGATGCTGTCCTTAGATATTGTGTATATTAGAATCTCTCTGCATATACATGAAATTCAGCAGTGTGTATGTTAAATGTGTGCTACCTGTTGAAGTGTGATATTGCATAATCATAGTTTCTTGAGAGACTGATGATTATTCAAATGTTTTACTGAATAGATACCCCAAAAATGTTTTCATGTACTCTGTATATTAAAATTCCTTCAGTATTAGAAACGGGGAAATACAACTATGTTATTGCATAGTGGGGGAAAAAGTGGTACAGATTACACTTAAAATCATGTTTTTCCTTTTTCTCTTTGTTTTTTTTTCAAATCATGTAATGCCTGGAGTTACCACCAAATACTTTATTAAAATATGAACGGGATATTGCCTACCATTTAAATTCTAATGAGCTGCAGTTCATAGTAATAAGAATTGACAATGTATCACGAAAAATTTGTAATCTATTTCACTTTTGAACTAATTTAGAAATTTATAAAAAAAGAATACTTAATAAATAATATTAAAACACCCTGATAACAGAGCAGGTGATACCTTAAATGTTTGTCTTTGTGGCACTGGGGCTAGATAAAAGCATTTGATATATCATACCAGATCATAGAGGGGTTTTAAGATTGATTTTGTTTTTCCAAGGTGAACATGAGATAGATTTTTTTGTTGTTGTTGTTTTTTTTCTTTCCTAGATAGGACTCAGTGTGCTGTGTCTTAACTCTCTTTGAGCTAAAAGTCTCAAATGTGTGCATAGTTGAAGTGCTTGAGGAAATGGCTTAGTGGTGAACTTGGTGTTAGGCTGATGGTTGGACTTGATCTTAAAGGTCTTTTCCAAACAAAATTATTTTATGTGAAAGGAGAGAAATATAAGTACGTCTATTCATGTGTCTTCTTTCTTACTATAAGTAAGCCTAGATCAAAACTCTACTTGAGTATTCCTAGTTATGCATTGTGATTATTGTGTTTTAATGTGTTCTGTAATTTAACCTGAAATTAGCTGAATACATATTACCTTCAGAAGAAATAAATGCGTATCATAGAATAGCCGTGGTGTAGATAACCAAAATGCAAGATTATAATTTTTAGTTATAGTTATTTTATAAACTTTATTTTCCTTGACCTTTTTCTTACACAGTAAGATACTGTTTTCACTGACTACCTATTATTTCAAAGTTGAGGATGGAGGTGAAAGATCAGTCTGTGTCACCTTTGGTTTTTTCTTCTTTGTGAAAGCAATGGCAATACTCATTGTGACAGAAAACTATCTAGAGTTTGGATTGGAATCAGGTAACTCCTTTCTTTAGTGTTTGAAACAGCTGTAGTGATTGTATGATCTGGAAAAAAAGTATTTCCAGCGTTTTTGAGAAAATCTGTGTTAAAATGAATGGTGTAAGTCATATGCTTCTAAGAAAATATGCTTTGGAATGAAGATTCTAAATAATATCCTGTATATTTTCCTGCCTTTCTCTTAAATAGTATAATCTTTGCCTAGCTTGTTTGTTTTGTTAATTGTATTTGCCTTCCAGTTATAGATTTAGCCCTTTTTTACTTTCTTAGTAAAGTGTAGCTCTCTTACTGGAAAATAATTTAATACGTTATCTTTTTTCACCTTCCCAAAGTGTCCACCCACATATTACAGATGTTGTTACTCAAGTTTTATTGTATTGTGGCCAACTAATTAGGACATGAAAGAGCTCTGCCAGGCATATGAGAAATTGTTTAAAAGATGACTTGTTACCCAGCATTCTATTTCACAAAAGGGATTCTTCGTTTGTACTGTAATAAAATAAATATATGTGTCCCTGCAGGATTCTCGAATTTCTCAAAAAGTGCTATGCAGTTTCTTGAAAAACAAGGTTTGGAATCCCAGTAAGTTTCTAGAAGTACATTTGTCTGTTTATATGTGAATTTATGAATCATTTGGATTTTCTTAGCAAGCCTTTGTCTTTCATGTTTTTGGGTTTTTTTTTGTACATGGTTGTAATCACTGCTACAGTTTAAAGAGATTAATGAAGAGATCTGAAGGTACCCACAAGTAACTGAAGTTGCATAAAGTTTTCATTTTAATATGGAGATAATTTTTTGGATTTTGATTTTAGTTCACAAGATATAGTTCAAAACTGTAAACACTTTTTTCACAGTATTTCCCTTCGGCGAGGATTGCTTAAATAGATAAATATTTTTTGTCATTCCTATGGTATGCAAGCGGATGAGTGTGCAAAAGCTACAAGATGAAATTTATATTAAAGTTCTCATTAGGAATAAATTGTGTTGTTAAGTCCTGGCTTGTAGCTGTGTTCCTATCACACAAAAACATCTGCTTGCTACAGGACATGAAAACCTCATGTAGACTGTTGAAGGAACGTGCCATAGCTTGTGATGTTACGTAATTACATGAACACTATCATAGGCAGTCTTTGTATATTGCAGAATGGGTTTCTGTTATAGTCCTTTATACATGCTTGCTAAAACTTAGGGAGCTTTTTATCACTGGGAGCACAACATTGAATTTCTTTCTTGGTAGGTCTCAAGTATCATGCGAAAGCCATAGTGTATCTTAATTTTTGAGGAACAGAAGTTTCCTCAAACTAGATTAGTGTAATTTATGAATAAACTCATGGGGAGCTGTTTCCTGAATCCCATGTATTGCTTAGCCTTCCTTTAATCTGCTTTCCTAAGCCATTGCAAGGTCACTAACTTCTGTATTCATGTGCATGTTAAGCGTTTGTTTAGTTATAAACTATTGCAGTGTTTTGCCTTTTTTAGAAGCAACTGAGTTAATGATGGTGTCTCTTGATAGTTTAGATGACAGATTAAGAAAGAATCTGAAACTCATTTGAATCACTTGATTTGGTTTTGTTCCTCTTAAATCTCTTAGTTACATTTCACTATAACTGTGATGTTTTTGTTGTTTGTTTGAGGGTTTTGTTTTGTTCTGTTCTGATTTTTTTTTTCTTTGTGTAGTCCTGTGTTTGTTAATTATGTAATTAATTCTGTGATTTGTTTGATCCTGGGTATTTTTCCTGTAGTTTTCTTAATATGCAATACTAATCACTTGGAAGAGACATGTTGATGACCACATGTACATTTCAGATAAATCTGTGAAAAGCTGCAGTAATGACAGTTTGATAGAGATTTTTATTTGGTAATGGTAGAAAACGGTATCCATGTTGTCTCTGAGCAGTTAAACTTATGAGACATCTGTTCATCTTAGAAACACAATCCTTAAATTAATTATATTTTAGCTATTTCTGCTATATAATTTGTTGTTAATTGCAATAATTATTTTTTCTTCTCTACTAGCAAATTAACAAGTCACAGTCAGTAAATTAGGTTTTCTGTTTTTCTAGGAAATAAATAGGTGAGTTGGTTTGGTTTTGAAAGTATTTTTTGCAGTTTTAATTTCTGATTGGTTTTTAATAATGCTAGTATTCTGGAGGAAGCCTATAGAATATTGTTGGCTTTTTTTATTATATGTTAGATACTGTTGGGTTGAAAGTAGTGCCTGATACTCCCTGCTCCCCCAACTTCCTCCCCAAGAAAATGCTTATTTTCTTTCTTTTCTTTTAGGGGTCCTGTGTCTAAACTAACCTTCAAATTGTTCCTGGCTATTCTATGTTCACTTATTGGTGCTTTTTTGACATTCCCTGGCTTGCGACTGGCTCAAATGCATCTGGATGCTCTGAATTTAGCAACAGAAAAAATAACACAGTAAGAGAAAATATATGCAAATAGGTATATGCTACTCAGTCTTAAATCTTTTATGTCTAAAAATAAACTAAGCAAACTATTCAAGATGGTAGTGACTTAAGACTTCTGTTGCTGCTTTTGATATTTTGAGTAGATTTGCCACCTGCCACTTTCTGTTCAAACTGTGCTCTGCCAGTCTATTAAATTCTTAGCTTTGTAATTAAGAGTCCCAATTGAAGGAGCTTTCCTTTCCTCCTGCAAGAGCTCCGCCATGAATGTCTCTGTGTCCAGCTTTATTCCCTCCATCATGTGATTCTGTAAGTTCAGATAACCTTCAGGAAGTACAAGTACAACCACAGACTGCTTTTTTCCACCCATGCTTACAGCCAGGCGTTATTCCTTTAATAAATTTAGTGTAGAATAAAATGCAAAAATTACCCAGAATATTTAATAAGGGTCATATGTTAATGCCAATTTAAAGGCCATCCTTCCATTTGGTAGTAAAATATTCTGTCCAGTTTAAATATTTCTCTTGTGCATTCTGTGATTGAGAGGGTGTAACTCCAAGTGGCTTTCAGAAGTCTTGACTGTTGATGTTTAATACATGATAATGACAGATTCTGCAGCATAGGGCAGTGTGGGTACCCAGTGTGGTAAATTTCCTATGAGAACCATTTTGTTTTCCAATAGGAAAGTGATTTTTGTTTAAGCTGCATTTTTTTCCTTTCCCTTCAGGAATGCTCAGCTTAAAAATTAATCTGTTTGAAGTGAGTCTGTCAGTCTTGGTAAATTTATAAGCAAGTACACTTGCACTCAATATAGTCGTTCATGTATAGCAGCCAGCTACTGGTTTGTTTTATCTACTCTTATGTTTCTGTCTGTGTGTAGACTGTGACTGAGTCACTTCCTAATCTGTTCTTTCCAGACAGATAAACTACTTAATTGTTATGGTTCTCAATATTTTAAAATTCTTTTGCGTCTTTTCTGTAAATATTCCAACATCTTTCTTGATCAATGGACATGACATCCTAGACAGAAATATAAACTCTCTGAAACAAAAATGTGTTAATTAAGAATTAAAGGGCAATTAATATCCACTGAAATGTGATTATGAAAATTAAAACTTCTCTAGCTTCTTCAGATGATATTGGACCTGGTTGTTGAAATAACTTTGTTCAACACCACAAGGTATTTTCAAAAGTCTAGCAATACTTTGACTATTGCATTGGAACAATGTGAAAATTACATTAAATGGATTAAAACTTCATATGGTATCCATATAATTAGGTAAAGCCATTATAAAGAATATTTATCAAGTGATAGGTTCAAATAAACCTGAAGAACATAACTTGTCCTTGCTGATGCATTTTGGTCAATGAGTAAATCATTTATTGACTACTGTTGTTTGACAGTGACTAAAGGGGAGCATTGTAAATGAGGATGACTTGTCACTGATACAAAGCTCTCTAAGTTGGATGCTTAAACACAGTCTATCTCTGCAATCAAATACATACTCAAAAAAACCCAACCAAAACAACTACAAAGAAAAAGCCAACCAACTGAACACAAAGAACAAACCTTAATCCAACCAAAAGCCCCCATGTCCCTTAAGCTGCCCAAAAAAAGCACCAACCTCCCTTAAAACCCAGCAAAAGAACCAAAACTAAACAACCCAAAAAATCCCAACACAAAATCTGTTCCTTAATGGTATGGAACACTTAACTTGCAGGGAACGCTGACCAAGAAATGTCCCAAAACTTAAAGGTTAATGACCAAGTACCACTTCACTAATATGTTCAAAATGATTAGTGAGATTCTTTTATGAGTGTAGGAGGTAAGTTAGTTGTTTTTGGGTAAACAGAATAAAAATCATCTGGTGTTTGTTGGTTTTGAGAACTAATTTGATTTTTTTTTTCCTTTGGCAGTAGTATCCATCCCTGCATCTATTTGGAGTCTACTTAATAAATTTGTACAATTTTCATACATATTGCCTCCTTTGCCAGAGCCTGCATCAAGGATATTTCAGCCTTCCTGCCTCTTCCTAAATAAAAAAAATTTAAAAAACCAAACAAACAGTGATTCCAACCACCCTTTGGCACATTCCAGTCGATCGTTCCATTTCATTAACTCAGTAGTTAATGAAATAAGTAGAAATAATGAAATAAGTAGAAGCTCAGGTAGAAGGCTTTCACAATCTAATGAAATGCTTTGGACTGATCCTTGATGCTGTTGCATTCCCTAGTACCGCTTAATAACTAGCAAGGTTTATTTCTTCATCTAAAACCAAAGATTTAAATTTCTGTGTGATGACAGCTTCTGTAACATGCAAACGTTCTAATGGATTTCGGAGGCTTGATAGTTCACAATCAGAAAGGTCTTGTGTTCTTTAGTACCGTTTTTGATTACATTATTTTTTCTATGGTATAGAACCACTGTAGCCAAGTTGGAGGCAAACCTAATTATTTTAGTGAGGAAATACTACACTAACAAAACAAATCAATCCCTTCAACTCTTCTCATATCATTTTAGTAATGAAAAATGATTGGGAGAATGGGTTTAGAAACAGAGAAGAAAATTTACATGTTTAGAAGTAAAGAAGGGTATTAATTTTGGGGAGAACTCCAAAAGCCATATCCCCTTTTTAAATTCTGCTGTTTTGTACACAAAGATTGCTAAAGAGTACTACTTTTATTTTTGTTGTGCAGTTTCATGTAGTATTTTTTGGTCTGAATATCTTTATTGAATATAAGTACCAAGTTTAATTTAATCAGGGTTTCTAAATAAAATGCTTCATTAAACTGTGAAATCTGACCTCTGGGAACTGTGTCTCCTGTTCTTTTTCAAGCCAAAATCCAGCATAATTTCACAATATGTAATATTACTCTCTTGTTGGAATGTTGTACCTATAAAGTAGGGAAGTAGTTTTATTATTATGTGTCTCCCAACTATTTTAAAGTTAATATTTCTCCTTTTGAATCTGTATACACTGTCAACAGTATGGTCATTGTTTTTGTTTACTTTTTTCTTTTTTTTTTTAGGACATTGCTGCATATAAACTTCTTGGCACCTTTATTTATGGTTCTTCTGTGGGTAAAACCAATCACTAAGGACTACATTATGAGCCCACCTTTAGGAAAAGAGACCATTCCTTTGTAAGATTTCCTTTAAATGTTCTTTCTATGGTATTGTGAAGAAAACATGGTCTTAGAGCTCCTTGAAAGTTGTAGAAATGTGAAAGATTTTATTTGCATCTGCTGTCAGAGGAATTGTGGAAGCTGCAGCTGCATTTTAAAGAGCTTCTGTTATTTCAAAAGAATGAGAATTGGTTGCAGAATGTTGAGTGTTATGGTGGTGGTTCCCAAAAAGCTGCTGTCTCTTGACATCTCCTTGGCAGTAATGTGTTGTTTTTTGTAGGGGTGGAATACCACCTCACTACTACCTGCTGAAACCTTGTATCTTGGATATTGGTGTAGGAGAAAAGTGGTTTCACTGAAAACAGTCAAGATACATTGGCCTGAGAACTAACCTAGGAGGTTTGTCTTAAGATTTACATGCTGTTGAAGTGGTATTGAGTTGATAGGTAAAATATTTAAAATACAAAAAACGAAAGAATTTCCAGGAAGAGTGGTATCTGAAATACTGTATAAGTATAGTTGATTCTCACTGTCACAATTAGTCTTGCTAATTCAAAGTAGATTTGAAATAGATACAATGGGCTGATACATTTCTTGCTTTCTAGAGGTAAGTTTCTAAAGTGATCCTGTGACCACTGAGCTATTACATAAAGCACAACAGATATACATATATTGTGGATCTTTGGTTCCTCGGTTCATCTTAAAATGAGAGTTGACCTATAACTGGGTATCTAAGGCAACTGAAGTACCCATTTGCAATCTAGTACTATTTACTATCTCGTCCTGTATGTCTGAAAACCTGTAATTATCTGAGCAACTTTGGTTTTTAGTGTCCTGCCTTCATTAGTCATAATTTAAGCATTTAAGAACTGCTCTTTTTTACAGACAAATGAATACTAACTTGGACCTAATGCTGTAGGGCTACTGAGAAGTAGTACGAAAGAGAAATAGAAGGCAAAAGTAAATATTACTTGCATGTGAACTTCATAACTAGTTTGTGTGTTAACGACTTTTGACAATTTGCCTCAAGATTACTTAACAGATGATACAAGCAAAAAACTGGAGCAGTAGGTGGTCTTCAGAAAACAGCATTACCTTTTTTTGTTATCCACAGAATGTCAGAGGATACATTTGATACCATCAGATTGTGGATTATAATCCTGTTGTGTGTTTTACGGTTGGCTATGATGCGTCATCATTTACAAGCCTATCTGAATTTAGCCCAGAAAAGTGTGGATCAGATGAAAAAGGAAGCTGGTAGAATAAGTATGGTTGAATTACAGAAAATGGTAAGTGTGGTGGACTGAGGTTATGTATTTGTAGTACTTTGACTGTGCAAATGATTTTTTTTCCCAATTTGTTGTCTTCTGTGGCAGCAGAACTCAAATTTGAGTGAAGCTTTCTAGACTATGTCTCCTATAAAAATAGCATAATTACAGAGAAATTTTGCAAACCAAAATATGGAGAGATGTATCATCTGTGTTATGCAGATAATTTGTCCTTGGTTATTTGGAAATTGTTATAAAAGATCTCTTCCAATGACTGGTGATCTGTAACTACAACATAGGAAAGAAAATACTAAATTTTGAGAGAAGAGTAAAATACTGTTACCATCTATCATTTTTAAATTGAGGAAAAATTTATGATAAGGTGGTTATATTTTGGAATAAAATGACATGTTTAATTCTGTCAGACCACTTTGAAGTGCACCAGGCTAGTTAAAAAATTGTCTATCCTATTGTGGACAAGGAGAAATTTCTGAGGATTTTTTTTTTAAGAAAAGTAGTAAAAGCATACCTTGAACAAATGGAGGACATAGAATGGCTGTTCTGTGTTGTCTGCAAAATAAATTTCTAGTGTTGCATGACAGTGTTGTCAGTGACCCTGCTGAGCTGGGGTCTATTGCAGGAGGAATATTGAAGCATGCTGTAAGACGAAGACTTCTATTCCAGGACTGTCATTATTACTTGTAGTTACACTACGTGTCTGAAGGTCAAACGTGAACTGTGCAGTAGTTATTTACAAACAAAGTGGCTAGGAATTTTCCCAGAAAATACGTTAGGAAATATATGTAGTAGCAACTGGTTAGGATGGAACTGTGCCAATTACTGAAAATTTTAGTACTGGGAATTTTCTTCCTATCTATAAAACAGTAATGTCTTCTTCATGTGGCATTTCTCAAATCCATTTCTCCAGTATCTTCATATATTCTCTTTGAGAAGGCTGTAGTTACCAGATATAGTCTTCACTTGTTTTACTAATCACATTTGCTGTACCTTTTTAAGGAACTTCTGCCAGTGAATTCTTTCCTGTCTGTCATTCTGCAGTGATCATTATTTTAATTTGTTATTTTTGTCATAATCTATCAATTTTTTGACAATATTTTTGTCTCATGCTTTTTCTTCTGTCAGTGTCTTATCACTTTCTTTTCTCATGTTAGTTTTTTGATGCTTGCTCATTATAAGAAGCCCTTTGAGGCTTGAGAGGTATTCCCAAAACTATCATGTCTGCCTTCATCATTTTGCCGCCCTGCATTCTGTTCTTTTTTAAAACTCAGATAGCTTTATTTCACTGCTTGCTTGCTATTGATTTTATGACTTGTTTCTTACTTTATTTGGTTTAATCTTTTAGATCAATAGCTTATATGAAATAGGTAATGTTACAATTTTGAGAAAAATTGAACAGATGGAGAGCAGGGGGAGGGATATATCTTAATGGATTTTGATGAACCATAGTGTATGACTGAAATAAAGACCATTTAAATACTGTTAGTGATCTAATGAAAACTCACCTTATCATTGTTTTTAAAATACAAATGTATTCCAGTTGGAAATCTTAAAAATATCTCACTTTTTAAAAAGGACTGTAATAATAACCAAGCTTTCATTTATTTTTTATGGGGCTTTGTTCTGTGACTACTACTTCATTTTTTAAATAGGATTTGGTTTGTAAATGACTGGGAACTTGAAAAATTAAACACATATTAATTTTTGTTTCTGGTGTATTTAAATAGGAATCATTGAATGAATTGTGTGCAGTTTGCAGAAGCAAAATTGATTCTCTTTTTTTAAACGTAATTGATGCTTTTAATTATTTCCTTTCAGCACTTTATCTCAATTTGTAAATGTCCTTAAACTAAAATTCATTATGGGGATTTCTTCATTAGGTCTTTTGAAGACAACATGTCACAAGAGTTACTAGAAAATTCTTAAAACAGCTGTAATGCCTAAGTCCTGGGGTTTTTAATAAATGATTTGGTTTTTTTCTAGACATGTTCATAAAGGTCTGCTTTGATCAACCAGCAATCATGGCCTTTACTCTCTTCCGTTTTTCAGGTGGCTCGGGTATTCTATTATCTCTGTGTAATTGCACTGCAATATGTTGCACCATTGGTAATGCTCCTTCACACAACTCTGCTCTTGAAAACACTAGGTAGGCAAAGTTGGATCAACAATAGCTTACTCTGTTCTATACAGGGCTTTTTTATTTTCACCTGACTAAAGAGAATTATAATTTATGGGTACTTGCAATACAAAAATACCTTGTAGTTTCCTGTACTTTAAAACGTTTGTATGTGGCTTTTAAGTAGGTATTTCTGTTGCTACTTTTGATATCTTCCAATTTCATGGTAATTAGTTTATTTCTGAGAAATTGTGTAATGCAACCAGACAGTTTACTTCTGTTGAAACATTTGTCTTTTTAGAAGTATTTTAAAAGTGAACTGTATAAAGCATGATTAACTTCATGAGCATCTCATAAAGGATTTTTTTCAGCTTTTTTATCTTTAGTTGGCTTTTAGAATGGGAATTGTGAGATACGGGGTTAATGTTACTGGGAGATCTGAAATTGCTCTGGTTTGGGATTTTTTTCTTTCTTTCTTGTGAGACTGGTCTTTCATAGCCTGCTATTCAGTTGTATCATTCTCTTTGCAAAAAGGCAAAGAATAGAGATAGGCTTTAGTAGGTTGTGATTCTTCCTGCCCTGGAGTAGACATCTCCACTGGGTGAGGTTAGTCATACCCAGGACATACAGGGGTCTCAAGGCAGCTCTATCACATGTAGATGTTGGGATGTCAAAATACAGGATGAATCCTACCACTAGCTTGCTGGTAAGACCGGGAAATCATACAGATGCAGACGAATATAGTTTATATTTACTAAGTTATAAAAACGTAACATTTTTTTGTGTGTATTAAAAATATATAAAAAATGATCTACAGAGTGATTGAATTAACATAACTTGAATTTAATTCTACAAAAATCTGTTACTTGTTTCTTTTTAACAGGCAATTACTCTTGGATCATCTACCCGGGATTGAATTCTGACACTCCAGTAGAAGACAAATTGCTTCCCAATTCCGTTTATTCTGAGTCTTCACCTGCTGATGGAAAGATGAAAGTAACTGTAGTACAAATAACAATGGCTCTGGGAAGCCTGAAGAATATTTTCACTCCTCTCCTGTTCCGAGGACTCCTGTCTTTCCTCACCTGGTGGATTGCTGCTTGCCTTTTTTCTACAAGCCTTTTTGGGCTCTTCTATCACCAATACCTGACTGTGGCGTGAACAAGTTAACTGACAGAGCAAGTGTCAGGTCAGATTCTAGATACAAACCCAGGTACCAAGAGGAGATGAAGAGAAAAGAAAACTATATATGTGAAGAGAAAACATATCATAATTATTTTTAAACACTTTCTTGGGGTTCTCAGGGTGAATAATCTTAAAATGTTTAAAATTGCAACTGGGTTTATTATTTTTGTTACCCAAATGGTAGGTAACTAATTCAATTACAGTCCTGAGACTGGCTGACATTATTGTGTTGTAGATGGTGGTAAGCATGCTAAAAAGATGTGACCTCTGAGTATCTTGGTTTCCATAAATAGAAAGCCAAACTCAAAAATTTGTTTTTAAGCATCAACAGTCACTGACTGAACTGCATTCAAAGGGTACTGGACATAGTGATGGTGGCTGCCTATCGATTAAGTCTTGAAACTGAGCCATACAGTGAAAGGAGGGAGAGGGGATTTAAAAAAAATTCTGTTGGATAGCTGTTGATCACTTTTCTCCTTGGAAAATGAAAAAATCCAACAGTACAAAAGACATACTGTATATTACAGTAAGGAAAGCTGTATAAAATATAACAGGAGTAGATGTATGTACCTGACAGGTATTGTTGCCTACATATTCTGCAGGAGTGATTGTGCAGTAAGGAGACAGTTATAACAAATATATTATTTCAGTCCCTGCAGTCATTTTGAAGTAATGGCCATCTGTATTGGTGCTAGTATTGATCCACAGATTGCATTTGGATCTTTTAAATTTCTTCTTTTGAGGTAGTAGATAAATTCCATTGAATTTACAAAAGAATAGAAAGTAATTAGTGACACCAGTCAAACATTTGAAAACAAAACGGTTAAATCTTGCTGACAGTGTATGTATATGTGTAATGTACATATATATTATATATTAAATATATAATATATATGAAGATATGAAATACTGAATCTTTATTTTAAATTCCTGAATGTATCTTACAGGGCTGTGGGAGAGGGGTGTATGTGTATCTAGTAATTTCAAGAATCCCTTTTGAAATGAAACTTCTAAATTTTTTTCTCTTGATTTTTTTTTTTTTAAGTTAAGTTGAAAGGGCTATATGTTTTTTGCACCTCTTTAGAGGTACTTAGCTATACTAAAGAACTTACACTGTCTTGGAAGAAAAGATACACTTAAACTGTTAATTTAAAAATTTCTGCTCTGTCAAATCATCATCTTTTGCTACTTTAATCTGTGCTAACTTGACCATATAATGATAATTAATATATCTTGGCTTCAGAAATAGATTTTCTGTATAATAAAACAGCTGTGTAATAAGAAAAAGAGCAAAGTATTAACTTTACAATTTTTGCTTAACTGGAGAGCTAGATTCCAATCATAAAATTACTGACAGTTTTTCAGATGTTTTGTGTATTTGCAAAACAGGAATGGGGATTTATATGCAGTAGCTTTTTTAAACAGTTAATACTACACTTCGCAGAGGTCAGTGGATTTTTTAACTAATACTTGCTGTTTTAATGTTATTATTCTTTTTCTCTCGAATTTGTGTACAGCTTTGGCATATAATAAGCATTTATAAATGGAAAAGCTTAACTAAATATTTCATATGTAGCAGACCTACCATATGGGAAAACAAACACAATGAATACAGAAAATCAAGATTTTAAGCTGGTGATAAACTGTCTTATTGTTGAAAACATTTTAAGTTATTTATTACTTTATTAAGTTGCTTTTATTGGGGAAAGATTTGTGTGCACCAGCCTAGTACCTTCTGCATGTGTTTGGGATGCCTGAGAACACCTTGCATGATGCTACTTGTTTCATTACAGTATTTCAGTGTGACTTGGGCTGCAAGCTTTGTTGTTTTCAACTTTTTGTAACTAGCAGGGATGAAGGCTTAACTGTGAATTGGCCTAAAGAATAATATTTGACTTCGTAGTTTAAAATCTCAAAGCATTCCTAGGAAGTGTCTTTCAGATGAATAATTGAATGACAAAATATGACAGGTCCAACAATACTGGACCCACTTTTGTATTAGTTCAAGATATACAATTTCTACAAGACACATCATTACTAATAGAATTAATAAGGACAGCTTTTAGGTTAGAGTTAGGTGTTCAATGCCTATGTTTTGTTCAGAAAAATAGAACAATCCAAAACAGTTTGATGCTGATAGTGCACTTGCCTGATGATGCTCAGTATACAGGAAATGTAACCTGTTGTAATCTGAAGGAGTAAATTTTGGATACTTGAGAATACTTCAAAACAATGTTAAAAAACAGTTTCTGCTGACATAGTCATTCTGAAAGCTCATAAGCAAAAGTGAACTGCAGTGATATAATAATGCATTTAGCAAAAGTAATAACTGGATCATGTAGATGAACTTCACAAAGCTCTTGTTAAGAACTCATGCCATCTTTCTATTCAGACATCACAGTGATCACGGTGAAAAATAGGCTCCTAGTGTTACAAACATGAAGGTCAGTGCTTGTACCCACTGTGCTGTTCCATTGTTCTACAGATCATGCTTCTGCACAGTTGAGTGGTTGAACCTTCTGATCAGCAGTGGGTGGGAGATGGGCTTTCTTTGGATCCATTTAATCCTGACATGAGTCTAGAAGACTTATGAAAAACTAAAATATGGCAATAAAAGCCTTTGAAATGTTTGGTGACATTGAAACCAGAGGGACCATATTGCTAAGGTTGTGAGCAGTGCTTCCTACAAGTATGTGATATGTTCAAAAATGCATTTTAAAGTAAAGTAGTAACCCTGATAGTCCTGACTTCCATTTGTGTAAGGTTCAAAGGAATATCTGCTCATTTCTGTATTAAGTTCCTTTGAAACAGCAGCTGGTAAATGCTTTTTTTTCTTTGTTTGTTTCATGGAGACCTTTATCGGCCCCTAGAGATGGGGGAAAAGCATCTTGCAGAAATGGAAAAGCAAGTAAAATGTGACTGAAAGGTTGGTAGGTGTTACTCAGGTTTTTTAAAGATTTTTTTTTTGTCTTGCTTTTTGCCCATCATTTAATCAAAAATATTTAGAATGGTTTGAGTTGGAATGCATCTGGAATGAGCCACTTTCCACAGGATCAGGTTGCTCTAAGCCCCATCAAACATGTCCTTGAATACCTCCGGAGATGGGCAGCCACAGCTTCTTTGGGTTACCTTATCTAGTGCCTCACCACCTTCACAGGCAAGAGTCTTCACCCAACACCTAAGTCTCCTACCTTTTACTTTATAACTGTTCCCCCTTGTCGTGTCACACTCTGCCTATGTAAAACGTCATTTTCCTTCTTTTTTATAAGCCCCTTTAAGTAATGGGAGGCCACAGTGAGATCTCCCTTAATTTCTGAAAGATTTTAGAAGGAAATGTTCCTTAGGCAAAGAATTCATGTCTGTTTCTATTTTCTTAAATTCAGATCTCCTTTCCTCTCTTAGTAATGTGATTTCCATTGCCGATCTACAGGAGTTTCCCTATGTTCCATACTTAGAACCGTGTAGGCTAAATGAGTTCAAGATTGTATTTTGACTTTTGTTTAGTTTAAATTTATCTATTTTTGAAGGATTAGTTCCTTTTAAATAGCTTAAATAACTTCAAATTCCATTTGAAACATAAACAAATTCGTTAACATTTGTTTAAACTCTTTTATTATGGATGTCCCTTTGGACAAAGGGTTAAGATAGTGATAAATCCAAGTCTTCCATCAAGTTCAGGGGGGTCCAAACATAACACTTGGGCTATTTCTGTTGATTAAGAGCAGAAGAACAGATTATAGAAAGCCTATTCTTACACTTTGTAGGTGACATTCTCAGGCTGCACTTGTCCTCTTTTGATTTCTTCTCAAGATATAGGTTATGCCAGTTTTTTTTAGCTGCACAGTCTTCTCTTCCAGAAATCACTTGCATAAAGGATCCGCAGATTAAACAATGGCATCAGTACAAGAGAACATTCTTGTACAGAAGGCACTTACAGAAAATTATTTTCTGTTGCAGTTGTTCTTCTTCTCATTTGGATCACAACTACTGCAAGGTGTTTAAACAGAGATACATTCTTGCCTGGATCATAAAGTCAAATTTGTCTTAAGAACAAAAACGTTACCAAGACATCAACACATTTAGGCAGCATAACTCTATGTAGTGGTTATCAAGTACAGAAATTTCAGCTAGCTTCAAAGGAACAATTCAAAGTGTTGTCCTTTGTTACAGTAACTACTGCTAGGTGGTTGGGATACTGGCTATATCACATAGAAAGTTGAAGACATCTGATCTTAAAAGTGTTGGAAGGCTCTCCAAGGTAAAAGGCCTTATGTCTTTTTATTCTCAAATAGCTGTGCTTTCCACAGAGATAATTTTGATCAGTTTTAAAATAGTACACTTCATGTTTTTTCACATTACACATTTTGCACATTTATTTGTTCGACAAAGCCACTCCGCACCCAGACTTAACCCCACAGTTAATTTTGTCACTATCAAGTTCCTAGATAATTTTAGTTAAGGTTTAAGAATTAAGTGCGCAGCCAAAATGGAGATTGAACAGGATATTGAACAAGATGGAGGCCAAAGAAAACTGTGTTCTCTTGGAGAAATCTTTTATGGCTGAGCAAAATCTCAGTGGAGGAAGGCAACAGCAGGTTACTTGTATCTTAAATCGAATATTAAATGTGAATCTTTACCATTATAAGTAAGACTGTTATTTTTAGCATCTACAACCTAAATCCCAAATGGCAAATAAAGAGCAATATTTTGACCTCACCTACTCTAAAGCACATCTAGTCAACAGACGCTTAGAAGCCAGATGTCTCATCTCACTGAGCAGGCTGATGCAGATTGGTCTTCCATGCTTCAGAGTGATTTTTGTGCAAGTCCTTTAGGAAGGCCTGCCATGCGTTGTTACCTCTGCAGCACATGCAGTGAAGTGGATGGCATATCTCATTTTCACCCCTGAGTACTAGACTGAAAGGTCTTCCTTCTCTAGATGAGATCATGAAGTCAACATGTCATTTCCAGGCTGCTTTTACTGACATCTATATATGCTGCACTTAACTTTTTCCAGTCTTTCACTGTAGACTACCAGGAGAGTACTATTGGATGTTGTTTTGCATGTCAGTGTATATGTATTTTTATACCTTTGATTTCAATGGTGTTTCTCATGGAAATTATTTTTAATCCTAATACCATGGATCATACTTTTGTTTTTTAAATTATTATTGATGCCTGCAACTAGGAGTCCAAAACTTCTACACTGTTTTTTTTTAAAAAAAAAAACTTGATGTTCAGGCTGAAGTATTAACAGGTATGCAGTTTTATATCAAAGTCCAAAATCCACCTATAAAACCAGATTTTTTC